TTTTTTTTTTTTTAAAAATAGTTAATACGATTCTAATAATTTTTTTAAAACAATTAGGGTGTGTTTGGTAACGTTTACGTTTTCAGTTTATATTTATAAAAATTTTATAAACTGATTTTTGTTTATTTTTTATTTATTTTTAGAAAAACATAAACTACAAACACGTTTGGTAATTGACAAAATGTTTAAAAAAAATTTAAAATATAAAAAATAGTGAGAAATGGCAAGTGGTGGCAAGTGGCAGCGGAAGACGGTGGTGGAAAGTGGTGACGGTGGGTGGTGGGTAGCTAGTGGTGGTGGGTGGTGGGTGGTAGCGAGTGGGTAGTGGTGGTGGGTACGTAGGTGACAGTGGCGGGTGGTGGATGGTAGCAAGTGGGTGATGGTGGTGGTGGTGGCGAGTGGTGGTGGCAGGTGGGTGGCGGATGGCGGGTGGTGGTGGGTGGTGGCAGGTGGGTGGTGGTGGCGGTGTGGTCAGGTCTGGTGGCAGGGGAGATTGTTTGGGAAATGTAGAAAAATTCTGGGTAAAACCAGAATTTTTTCTCAAGTTTGGTCTATTTTTAGGTGGGCCCCGAGCGTCGATTTACTCGGGTCAAAGTGGTAACGCGTTCTATGCCGCGTTGTGATTCACGGGTATATTTGGTTGCTCAAAACCATTACCGAGTGAATGAAAAATTGAAGCCAAAGTGTGCTCCATGGAAATGGAGTTTTGTAGAAATTCCTTAAGGTTGTAAATTGGCCTTGTCCCACATTAATTTGGTGGGAAGTTTTGAAAGGGTTTATAAGGCTTGGGTTAGATACTTGGGGAGTGCCCCAAGGGGTACCCAAGTGTTTTAGAGGAGAGAGGTTATGGGCTAGACCATTGGACACCCAAAAATCACCACGCGCGCGCCGCCGCCGTCCGTCCGGTCGGGCGCTGGCCGTGGCGTGCGTGGTGTGTTGGGTTGGGTTGGGCTTGTTCGGCCGGATATTAATCTTTTTGGGTCAAAAACATTTGAATTAATTTTATTTTTATTAAATAAAATCCAAAATTCAAATTAAACTGGTTTGGATTTACTGTTCATCCAAACAGGGCCCTTTCCCGTTTTCAAACAGAATTAAACTGGTTTGGATTTACTGTTCATCCAAACAGAGCCCTTTCCCTTTTTTATCTGTTTGAATTATTAACCCAACATATTCAAATCTGTTTAAATTTGAAACTAACAAGGTTTCATACCTGTTCAATTCAAAACAGAGCCACCTTTACATCTATAAATAGACTAGCCTCCTATTTGGATTCACTCCAATTTTCGTACTCCATCCTCTGCTTTAAATCTCTGCATTTTGCTGCATTTTATTTCTAAAAGAAAGAGTGTAAACACTTTGGTGTGTTCGACGAACGATTAAATGGTGTGTTGCTTTATTCGTTGATAAGATCATTTTATCCTGGGAGATAGACGTCAAAATTCTGAAAGCACCGTGGAGAGGACGAATCTGTCTTAAGGACACAGTGTTAAACACTGGACTTGATCAGAAAAGTTATTCAAAAAAATTAACCAAGTAAGTTGTTTAATTTTATTCTGTTTTATTGTTTGTTATTTTAATCAGATTTTATTTTTGTTTTGTAACAAAATAAAATCTGTGGTTTTATTTATTTATTTATTATTTCGAGTTTGATTTTGTAATCAAACAAATTCTCTCATTTTCTTTATTTCTTTATATTCTTGTTGTTGTTTTGTACACAACAGAATTTAACTTAATTAAATACAGTGAAGAATTGTCCTACAGCGGGTGGTGTGTGACGGTGGTGGGTGGCGGGTGGTGGTGTGGTAGTGGCGGGTGGGTGGTGGGTTGGTAATGGTGAGTGGGTAGGTGGTGACGATGGCGGGTAGTGTGGTGGTAGCGACGAATGGGTGGTTGGTGGTGGGTGGGTGGTGTGGATGGGTGGGTGAGGTGACGGTGGCGGGTGGTAGTAGTGTGTAGCGAGTGGGTGTGTGTTGTGACGCCCCAAAAAAATTTTTTTTTTTTTTTTTTTTTGAAACGTCATAAGATTTTAAATAACAATAACTTGCTAGATTAAAATTTTAACTACTAGTTAGGAACTTTTAAGTTCTTACAAAGCCAAAGTCCAACGACAGAATAAAACTACAAGTTACACATAACGTCACAACATAGTTTAATCCTAATACAAGGGATAACAGGATTTTTATCTGACAAATATTTGACTCTAAAAGGTCGACGCCAAGGTCGATATTGGCAGCAGCTCCAATTTCAGCCTCAGTCCCCTTCTTTCACATAATCTGGCATGAAACGCCAGAGGCAACAAAAATATATGCCATGAGTTTTTGCAACACAGTAAGAAAACGTAACCAACCTACCATTCTTTTTAAGAGACAAATATAATATTCTAAACATGAGATAACAATATAATTATACACAGAAATTACAACCATTAGAATAGTTTCAGTTAATTTTAATAATTTAGGTGACACTCGAAATCTCACCAAAAGAGATTTAACTCAACCAACCACTAGCATACGGCAACGGTTAATTTGAAACCCTCCCTTGGCAAATATTTAAGTGTTTACCAACCGTAACTACCAGGGATGCCACGGTCCGGAGTTAATCATACCCAAGTAGTGGCATCCGTGGTATGCCCCTAGGGAAACGGTCTGCACCAGGGGTAAGCAACCTCCCTGCTGTGCCACCTAACATCACCCTTATTCAAAACCGGATAACCGAAAAGGCGTCTAATCAAATAAGTTCACCGCTGCATCTTAGAAGTTTCGCAACACAATTTACGTTGAGATCTCAAAAACCAGGGCTCACCTGAACAACTGTGTTGGTTAACCGTCAACTCAATTATTCCGTACTAGTCTTTAAACCAAGACTCACCCCGAACAACTGGTATTAACCGTCAATTGTTTAACTTTTGTATATGTCGTTAATTCATTTCAGTAAATTTTGTTGATATTAATCCACAAAAAACTCCAAATTGTTAATCAACAAGTAATGTTATACAAACTCATTAAATTCCGCAATCAATAAAATATTGCATGTGTCAACACAATACTAAATAAAATTAATATTCTACTTGTAAAATTCTAAATAAACAATTTATTTTAACCAACCATGGTAGATATAATTAACTAGATACAAGAAATTTAAACCCTAAACACACACATGCACAAATTTTTGATTTACAAAATATTAGACTAGCATAATATTAAATGGTGATTTATTCTGCTCCAGAAAAATTTTCAAGAGATATAAACCTTGCAAAGTAAAAATTATAAATACATTACTTATACACTGCTTAACAAATTCATAGATGGCAATGCTCTACGGAAAAAGGATTACTCAATAAACAGTTTATGGTTATTTTTCAGAAAAGATTTTTCCAAAATAACCTTATAAATTAATTCTAAAAATTCCTAAAAGGGTGTTTATGACAGCAGATTTGTCACATTTCCTTACATTAATTCCATGCTTAAATTTTATAGATACAAACCGCTATATCTTAAAAATTATCAATGAAACTAGACTTCTCAATTATCATTGTTAGTTTAGAAATTTTCCAGATTTGGCTTAGTATAGAGTTTTAAATATCAATTTTCAAATACATGGTAAAAATCTGTCTCACAGTTTCAGGATTTAGTTAGAAAATTTGTATAAATTCGGCAGAAAGCTCGAAAATTGTTTCCAAAAATTTTTTGGATATAAAACTAGACATCATTAACACTTTGTAGAAAAAAACATCATCTTCAAAATTCTGAGTTAAAATTTCTAAAAATTCGGGTAACATGCTGGCAGAATTCAAGACCAGATATATTCTCACACTGTTTCAGATTTAGTTAAAAAATTTGTTTATAAATAGTAGAAAGCCTCCAAAAAATTGTTTCCAAAAATTTCTGGATAAACTAGACATCATTATTCCAAGCAACTTTGGTAGAAGAAATCATCTCAAACTACATCTGAGTATAAAATTGTCTAAAAATTCGGTAACATGCTGGCAGATTCAAGACAGATTATTCTCAACACTGTTTCAGATTTAGTAAAAATTTGTTATAAATTCGTAGAACAGCTCAAAAATTGTTTCCAAAAAATTTCTGGAATAAACAGACATCATTTAATTCAAAACTTGAAGAAGAAATCATCTCAAAATTCTGAGTATAAAATTGTCTAAAAATTCGAATAACCATATGCTGGCAGATTTCAAGACAGATTATTCTCAACACAGCTTTAGACAATGTATCAAATGTCATAATCGGAAAAATTTCAAATATAAAATAAAAAAAATGAGAGGGTTGAGAGGGTTTTCTTACTTAGTAATCAGAGTGACAAAATGGTTGAGAATTTTGCGTTTCTTTAATCTCCTACTCTTCTTCCTTCTCCTAACACCAAGCTTGGTGGCTTTGGAATTTCTCTCTTCTTTTCTTTTTTTTTTTTTTTTTTTTTTCCACCGGAATGCTTGCTGCACAAGGAAGGCTTGCATGCATATAAATATTGAAGACATCTCTCTCTCCTCTCATTCTTTCCATTATTTTATTTTCTCAAAAACATTCCATTCCCTTTCTCCAAGTTCTAAGAATGAGCTTTTCCCTAAATTTTATTGGTTTCCTATTTCTTAAGAGATGGTGGGTTTGGTAGGAACTATGGGTTTGTTTGCCCATGGTTTGTTTGTTTGTATTTTTTTTTTTTTTTTGTGTTGTGTGGGGTTTCTGAAAATTGACACACTAAGATTTTTAACTAACGGGTTATTTAGTAAGAATAGTTATATATTGATCATAATTAAAATAATTATAAACAACAAATATGAACACCCACAAAATTATTATTCTAAATACATGTTCTTGTTAGTAATTGAATTGGGTTAATTTAAAACTAATTTTTACACTAATATACAATTCAGATAGACTGTAGACAAAATTAATTAATTTATTTATTTATTTATTTTCTTTAAGGAATAATTAAAGATGGGTTTTCACAATCTACCCTCCTAAAAGAAAATTTCGTCCTCCAAATTAATTCGTACCTTTAGACTCGAATAGTTGAGGGTAATTGATACGTATCATATCTTCTCGCTCCCACGTTGACTCTTCCGTCCCACGATGTCTCCAGAGAACTTGAACCAATGGTATAGTTTTGTCTCGTAATTTCTTCTCGCGACGATCTAAAATCTTGACAGGCTTTTCTTCAAATGTCACGTCTTCATCAAGATTAATTTCCTCCCAATTGATGATGTGAGAAGGGTGTGGCTCGTATTTCCGTAGCATAGAGACGTGGAAAACATTATGCACTCCAGCCAGTTGAGGCGGTAGAGCCAAACGGTACGCCACTTCTCCTATTTTGTCCAAAATTTCGAAAGGCCCTATGAAGCGAGGTGACAATTTTCCCTTCTTTCCGAAACGAACAACTCCTCGGCGAGGCTGTATTTTCAGAAACACATGATCTCCAACTTTAAATGCTAAAGGTCTTCTCCTTTGATCTGCATAGCTTTTCTGCCTACTCTGAGCGGTCTCAAGCCTTTGCCTAATTAGTTTCACCTTCTCGGTAGTTTCCTGAATTAACTCTGGCCCTAAAAGAGGTGCTTCTCCGACTTCTGTCCAACATATTGGTGAACGGCAAGGCCGTCCGTATAAAGCTTCATACGGTGCCATACCAATACTTGCTTGAAAACTGTTATTGTAAGAGAATTCGACTAGTGGTAAATATTTCTCCCAACTACCTTTAAAGTCCATCACACAAGCTCGAAGCATGTCTTCTAAAGTCTGAATTGTTCTTTCCGATTGACCGTCAGTTTGAGGGTGAAAAGCTGTACTAAAACACAACTCTGTACCCAAGGCCTTTTGCAGACTTTGCCAGAATTGTAACGTAAAACGAGAATCACGATCTGACACTATTGAGACTGGTACTCCGTGCAATCTAATGATTTCTCGAATAAATAATCGACTTAAAGATTCGAGTGTGCCTGCTGGTCCTATTGGTAGGAAATGTGCCGTCTTAGTTAATCGATCAACCACCACCAAAATGGCATCATGGCCTTGCGGCGACCGGGGTAATCCTGTTACAAAATCCATTGTTATGTGTTCCCATTTCCACTTAGGTATTGGTAAAGGTTGGAGTTTCCCTACCGACTTTTCATGTTTTGTCTTCACTTGCTGACACGTCAAGCACTTAGATACGAATTGAGCAACGTCCTTCTTCATTCCACTCCACCAATACTGCCGCTTAAGATCCTGGTACATCTTATTTCCTCCCGGATGAACCGCAAAAACCGAATGGTGAAATTCTTTAAGTACTTCCTCTCTTAATTGTTCGATGTTTGGCACAAAAATTCTACCTAAATACCTTAAACTACCATCTTGATGGAGCGTCCAATATGGTGAAGATTCCCCGGACACTAATCGGGCCTTGATGAAGTCGGACAAGGAAGGCTTGCATACATATATATATTGAAGACATCTCTCTCTCTCCCTTTCATTCTTTCCATTATTTTATTTTCTCAAAATCCACTGGTGCTTCGGTGGTGGGTCCCTCCCTATGAGTTGGGTTAAATCAGGTAGATTTGGAGCATCGGGCGCTGTACTCCAATCGAAACTTGACCATGGTTAGGGCAGATGAGGCGCTCCACTGGTGCTTCGGTGGTGGGTCCCTCCCTATGAGTTGGGTTAAATCAGGTAGATTTGGAGCATCGGGCGCTGTACTCCAATCGAAACTTGACCATGGTTAGGGCAGATGAGGCGCTCCACTGGTGCTTCGGTGGTGGGTCCCTCCCTATGAGTTGGGTTAAATCAGGTAGATTTGGAGCATCGGGCGCTGTACTCCAATCGAAACTTGACCATGGTTAGGGCAGATGAGGCGCTCCACTGGTGCTTCGGTGGTGGGTCCCTCCCTATGAGTTGGGTTAAATCAGGTAGATTTGGAGCATCGGGCGCTGTACTCCAATCGAAACTTGACCATGGTTAGGGCAGATGAGGCGCTCCACTGGTGCTTCGGTGGTGGGTCCCTTCCTATGGGTTGGGTTAAATCAAGTAGATTTGGAGCACCGGGCCTGAGCCTCCGGAGGTCGTGATGACACCTTAGAACCTCTTTTTTTCTTAATCAAAAAAATAAAAAATAAAAAAAAATCTGCTCAAACTATTAAAATCTCTATAACAAATTAGTTTTTTTGAACAAATAAAAATGTTGTTTTGTGAGGTATCACAACGTTTGTCCCATTTCGAAATAATTAATTGCCAATTAAATTTAGATATTGTTTGTCATAATCTAAAAAAAATTAAAAATTTATTATTATATTTAAGTTACATTATCTTATTTAAGTCACATCATCTTTATATCACATCATTTTAAACTCAATCTATATCTAACTCATATCTCATAAAAAATTAAAAAAAATACTTATTTATATCATACCAAACAACTCCTAATCTAATTTAAAAGAAAAAACTCACCGCATGAACAAAAGAAGAATGCACAAACTTTTAACACCGAAAACAAATCCCTAAAAATCAAGCCATGCTCCCGTGTGTGTGTGGACCTTTCCACTCCACCACGGCCTTGGTTATAACAAATTAGTTTGAAACATTTAGGTCTCATTTGATAAGTTAATATTTTATTTAAAAAGTCAAAAAATTATTAAAAAAATTAAAAAAATTATAATCTATATTAAAAAATCAAAAATTTTATTTTTTTTTTCTATTTTTTACATATTTTTTTATATAAAGCCAAAAATTCACCTCAAACATAATGTTTGGTTTGAGTTTTTTGGATTAAATTTTTTAAAAATTAAGCTTTTTGGTTTTTGTATTCTTTTGTTTTTAGTGAATATTTTTTAAATTTTAAATATTTTTTTTACTTTTTTAGATGCACTTTAGTTAGATGTATCTAAAAAGTAAAAAATTTGTGTAAAAATATTTTAAAAAATTAATAAATACATAGAAATACAAAAAATGTATTGAATTCTTGTATTTTTCTTATATTTTTGATATTTAGTGAATTTTTAAAAGATTTTTTTTTATAATTTTTTTACTTTTTAGGTGTATTTTTGTTAGGTGTGTCTAAAAAGTAAAAAAATTGCTTCAAATATTAAAAAAATTCAGTAAAAACAAAAAAAATACGAAAAATAAGAAAGTAAAATTTTCTGAAAAGTATTTTCTGAAAAATAAAAACAAGCAAGCTTATTAATTTTTTTTATCTCATATTTTAGTTAAAAGTTATTAAAATAGCTTGTTCTCAAACGAGGCCTTAATATTGACGGGTAATATTAGGGATCTTAAGCCTCGGGAATAAGTTATTTTAATATTTTTTAATTTTTTAATTAAAATATGAGGTTAAAAAATTAGTAAATTTAGAATGATTTTTTGATTTTTTTTTGAAAAAAATGAATAAAAGTTAGAAAAAAAATAAATTTTTTGAAATTTTAGTATAAGTGATAGATTTTTTAATTTTTTTAATAACTTTTTAATTTTTAAACTACAACAAACAATTCCAAATGAGGTTTAAATTTTTTATCAAATAAATAATTAAACAATTCATACAAATGTAAAAGTCTGCAATTTTTATAAAACACATGCTCATATAAAATATTTAATCATTTAATAATTAAAATTTTAGTACTTACACAAGGCTCCGTTTGATAAGGGCTTTTGTGATTATTTTAGTCACAAAAGACAAAATAGATTATTTTATTTTATAATAAATAAAATATCACATCCAATTCATAATCATTACATTCTTTTCTCATAAAAAAAAAAGCTAAAAAATCTAAAAAATCAAAAAATCATTTCCCAACTAAACTTTTTAACTCAAAATTAAAAAAAAAAAAAAAAAATATCCCGAAACGGAGTCATGGATACTTGCCTGGCTCTATCCAACATCCATCACCTTCTTCCCCCACTACCCTTCTCTCTTTTTCTCTCTAAAAACTCTTCCTCTATGTACAATTACACACTACATACACGTTTACATTGTCTCTCCCTCTCTCTCTCTCTCTCTCTCTCTCTCAAGCTACAGAAGTAACAACACAATGAGAGAGTTCTGAATACACTGTTAAAGTGCCCACACCAAAACCAGAGAAAAGAATGTGAAAAAAAGAGAGCTAAAGGTACTAGTACTCTTACCACCAATCAGCAAAACAAACCCTTTTGCAGACCTCTAGAGAGAGAGACAAAGAGTGAGAGACAACTCTAGAGAGAGAAAGTTGAGAGCAGAGCTCCAGCTGTGTGTGAGCTCTCACCTACATCACACAGTTCCAAAACCCTAGAAAGAGAGAGAGAGTTGAGCTCTCTGCTAAAACCGAAATTCACAAGATTTGAGAGCTAAAAAAGCCCTAGATCCAGATTCATCCGTATCGGAACTCGTGGTTGTTCGCTGGTGATGACTCTGAATTCTGTTTCTCATTTTTCATTAATGATGATCTTCTTCGGTTTGATTCCAAATTTGTTGATTGCTTTTGATTTTGTTGGAGTATGTTTTGCTTGGGATTCAAGTAATTTTTTATTTATATAATGTGATGAGAATATAGGGAATTTTGAATTTTGCTTTTTTGGAGCTTGCTTGCTCGCTTGCTTCGTGGTGTTATGGGGTTTATGTTCTTGCTTTTGTGGACCATTTTGCTCTTCACTTGATTGTGTGAGAAATTGAGAATTTTTTGTTATGCTGGTTGATTAAGTTGCTTGATCTGGTGAGGTTATTTGGACTTCTGCTTTTTTTTTTTTTGGGAGGGGGGTACTATTTTATTGTAAACAAATGATATTTTGTTTTTTTGTTGATCAGCTTTCTTTGTGATCATTTTCAACTTGATTTTTAAATGCTGATGACTCATGGGAAAATGACTGATAACTTGAAATTGGTGGCTAGTGTTGGGAAAAAAAAAAAAAAAAAACTCAAAACTCAAAACGGAAACACATTTTTTGTGTTTTTATTTTTTGGCTAAATTTATAAACTGAGACCACTGATTTATAAATCAAAAATTTTACCAAACAAGTTTTTATTTGAGTTTTTTAAATTTTTATAAATATAAACAGAAAACTGAAAACGTAAGTGTTACCAAACGACACCTTAACATCTGATGATGGGATTATAAATATTCGATTAATTTGATTTTCTTCATAAATGATATGTTCGATAAATCCTACAATATATACATATATATATATATATATATCTCGAATCATCAAAATAGACCCAAGATGAACTCCAGAAGCACAGCGCAGCAACCCTATGGTGGACCCTAGTATTCACAAGTTTTGGACTTCTTCCTTGAATTCTAACAAATCCTTTTTCTTTCAGTCAACCTTTTTTTTCAGCAAACAAAACCGAAGCACCCTGGCAATGAGCGGGGGCTCTAACCCTACTCAAGAGATACAACTTGACAAACTAGTCCCAAAGCATCCAAAAGGACTCAAAATTCTTGGAAGTTTATGAAAAAAAAATACCCAAAAGTAACTTCAACCAAATTTTAGACCTATACCTTGTTTCCAACCTAATCCTTTTCGGGAGAGAGAGAATTTCAAACATTTGGTGCTCCCAATTAATAGGTACATTATGGGGCGATTTGGAAACAAGTAAAACGTTGCGTTTCGCAGCTTCAAAACACAGCCAACAGTATGACTTCTTTGACAATAAATTATTTGGAAAGGTAGCAAAAAGCAGCATGTGAAATTCCATCAACTACCCTCCAGCTACAAAATGAGCCACATGGGTAAAATTATAAATTTACTAAATTGACTAGGAATATTTTGGTCATTTTATTGTGACGTAACATAATAAATAAATATTAATCAAAAAAGTCAAAATAACCTTTTATCAATTTCTCAAATCACTTTCTCAAAAAGAAAAAAGTTTGATTAAAATCTAAAAACCAACTTTTAATAATATTTCCAAAACACCCTTATATATCAGATGACTAGACCTCTACTTAAAGATACTGTTTCACTAAATTTATTTTGGTAACTAATTCTACAATTGGCTTTGTTACCCTGACTTATTTGGAAGAACGGAATAATATGGCTAGGATTTGAAAAGATCCGTACTATTAATTAGTCTCTAATTAATGATGAGCACATCCTAGGGTGGAATTTCTTGATCAATTGAAACTACTTCAGATATGGTTACCTTTTTCAGTCTAATGAGCACATTAAGAAATGAGGGTTGGTGTGGAAATAAGGAACCATTGGATGTAAACTTAGGACTAAATTAGATATTCCCCCACAAAACACAGTTCAAGACAAATTAGGCAAAGGGCATTGAAATATGTCTACCGTTTTTTGACTCTGTGTGTTGTTCTTTTTGAAAGTGTTTAAGATGATTTAAATAAGTATACTTTTTGACTTTTTATAAATAAATAAAAAATGTAAAAAAAAATAGAAAGGCGATATAACTCAAAAAAGATCAAAAGATAAACATATAAATAAAAATAAAAGTATTAATATAAGAGATGGTGTCAAATAGTGCCTTAGTCTCTTTGCAAAATAGATGAGATCACACTGGTGGGAACTCTTCTATGAATGGCAAACTAATCTTGTGAAAAAGACCAAAAAAAAATTTGTAGTTTTTTCTTCTAAAATGTTTAATTGGAACACTTCATTCGTTTGACTTCCCAAATGACACCACGATCCCTCATTATTTTTAAAATATAATTAATCCCTATACATATACACACAGTTTATTATCTTATGGATATTTATACATGTACAAAAGTGAAATAAATTAATAAAATTCCCTATATATCCAAACTCAAAAGAGATCAAGCTAAGCTAATCTACAGGTGCCACCCCAAAAAGAGAAATTCCTAAAAAGAGAAAACAGAATGAAGCATATTCTTAATAGGACTTTTCATTATATGCTCAAATTGCAAAAATCCGTGTGAACCACACATAAAAACTAGATATTGCAATTCTTTTTTCATCTATAAATGTAAGAAAACTACTTTTGACGAGGACACTGTCCATACACATTACAATATAAACAAAAACGTAAAGAACCCTGATATCCACACCATGTCAAACCAAGGTTTGCCCAACTATAAAAACAAATCTTCACAAAAACATGACGCTACTCTTGACAAGCATTTACTGAGGTCCGGAAAATTTACCCATCATTTTTGCAATTATGGGAGCCACCTTGGGGTTTGCCTGATGCTTAGCAAAATTAGCTGGATTCTTCATCACTGCAAAACAATTGAGCAATACAAGGATAAAATAGAAATAAATATGAATGTCATAAATACAAGGTACATTTTCTATATTTTACATAGTGGTAGTTTGTGTGGGGCTTATATTGTAACTTGTAATAGCCCCTTAAGTCTGTGTTTAAGTTAATGCAATTCCAAAAGTAGCAAAATAATAAGGCAAACGTGAAAAAACATCTATTGGAATGGAAAGAGAAGTACCATCTTGAAGAGCAGCCATGACTTCTGGATCTTTGAATGCAGCCATTAATTCGGGGTCCTGCTCCAAATAACAATAACAAGCACATTCAACCAACAGTATTTAGTATACGACCGCAAAGTTCCACTTGGCAGTGGTGCAAATAACCATACAAAATGTTTGGTATCATAAAATGGGAAAGCTAATATCATATCAGTTTAAGAATAACATATAGAAAGTCGAGAGAGATTCGTGCTCGGTTTATTTTGGAGGAAAACATTTTCCGTATTTTATGGTGTTTACTATGATAGAAAGTGAGAGTTAACATACAACATTTTCCATGATTAATAGGAAATAAGCTTGTTTAGGCAGAAAACTCTTTCTACTTTTGAAAGGCGGAAAACATTTTCCGGACTAAAGTTTTACCACTACCACTACCACCACCACCACCACCTCCTCCAATAACGCTACCACTTCCGCCCACCGCCACCGCCACCGCCACCATTAATACACCTACTCGCACATTAGTTTCAAGATAGCAATCAAACATAATAAAACATTGTCAAAAATTGGAAAATCTTTTCTGGCGAAACAAACTAAGCATCCCATAAAGTTATAACATCTTACATTCAATATTTTGCTGTAGTCAACGTTAGGCATCCCTCCCGGCATGCTACCGGGGAAACCGCCTGGCATGCCACCAGGAAACCCTCCAGGCATTCCGCCAGGAAACCCACCAGGCATGCCTCCTGTTCTTCTACTTGCAGATGAATGCTCTTGTTTCTTAGCCTTCTCATATGCAGCCTTGAACAGAACGTAGAACAAAGTACAAGTCATATAGAAGATGAATAACCAAAAACTTTATTAACAAATAAGCATATAATTACCTGAGCTTCAGCACGGCGACGATGTCTCTCACGTTCAATCTTTTTGTCCTCTCGTTCTTTACGCAACCTCTCATACCTCTTACGGTGTTCCTCAATTTTGTGAGCATTGGGTTCAACCTGAGTGGACCAAAAACTTAAGTGAGATCCCAAAACATATTAAGACTAATGCAATGTTTCAGTCTTGCTATAAAATGTTTTCATATCCATCACAATAATGAGCATGCATGTTGACACAATTTCAAGCACCTCAAACCATACGCCAGTCTGACACTCCCACCAGTTACAAAGAATCATAAGGGTACAGTGACCTGTCAAAGGTGATATGAAAATAGGATTTCAAAGCATTAAAATGAAGGCAAACCTTCTTTAGTACGGCACCTATTTCCTCGTCATAGTCCAACTTCGATGCCAAGTGAAGATCCTTAGCAGCCTCTCCCCATTGACCAAGCATTGCCCGTGCCATGCCAAGGGATTTGTACCCTTTAGCAGAATCTGGATTGATCTGTAACAAGCATTTAAGAAAAATGTAGCACCCACCATTGGAAAGATAGCCCATCACACATTTTAACCATCTTCAAAACACAAGAGTAATATAGTTCCAAAGCGACCATATCAGTTTGATGGAGGGGCATCCTGTCTAAAAAGTGAAATCATTATAGCACAAATAACACATGAATCCACATTACATGTTCCCGTATACAAAGCAAATGCAATCAATGTATGTGTTTGCATGGTAGTATTGATGATATGTGTGCCATAAGAAATGAAGCACCTAAACCCCCAAGGATAATATGTCAGGAACATTGGTACATTAGGTGAAGGTACGAAAAGAGAGGGATTTGAACACTCGGTAAACAAAAAAGCCTACATAGCAGTTCTAATGCTATGCCTTGAACCACTTGGCCATCTCTCCCACATAATGGATCTATGTGACTATTTTTCGATCCTGTTTTATGGATTAACTAAAAATGCAAAAGCTCTATCTGATCCACCATTCCACGAGTCTCTTTCTTTGAAAGCCATATTTCAACCTGAACATTTTAGGGATGCTGCCAATAACCAACAAATGACAACTGCTTCTCCTTGTGTAGATCCTATTTCAATGGGAATTTGATGAGTCGGTCCACCTACATGTCTTGGTTTTAAGTATTGGGCTTTGCAGTATTAGTCATGCACTTCTAGGACTTGAGACGTGGAAGAATCTTTTCCATTCTTCAGCTATGTATGGAAAGATAGATAATGAATATCTTTTACATATTCACCCAGTTTATTAGCTTTTTGAGAAATGATACAAAGAAAGATGTCCTTGTTCATAATAGAAACACTCTCATGTCATGAGGATAATACATGGAATAAAAAAAAGAATAAAATATTCTCATTATTAACTGAGCAATGCTAGTGTTTCTTATAGGTAATCTCTAGCCAAAAGACTCGAAATCTCCTATTTTGTTCTGCTGGTATAGCTCTAGCCTAATTATTCCTTAGCAAAAGCTAAGGAAAATGACTATTGATAATTGTTTGATGCTAAGCATTAGGTTTGGGGTTTTTCTTCTAAATCTCCTATTTAAGAACTATAAAGGCCAAAGGGATTACAAGCTTAAAGCTCATAAAAAATTACCCAAAAAAAATTCCAATATATTTCCTTAAAACATTTCTTTAGGAGGAAAAAAATTAAATATAATGACCTAAAAACTAAGGTGAGAAAAATTTGACATGACAAACATCAAAAATTGTTTTGCAACATGATTAATTTCGGGTGAGGAACTATGTTTTATTGGATGCCTAATAGTTAAACAAAAACTATGCTAAACTAAAAGTATCTTAAATTCTTATAGTGTAATTTATACAATCTACCCCCATAGTACCACATTTTATAGCAAGTGGTGTACCATGTTCACGTTCATGTTCATGTTCAAGTTCAAGTTTCTCGTTTCTGTTTCACATACCGTAACAATCTACATTCCACGTAACAAGCAACTTCTTTAATGACAATTGATAGTTGGTTTTTATTCCTTTCTTCAAGTCCCCTCATGACAACTGTATTTTGGGGCTGTTTAATCGTCACTCCACTAACCACAAGGTACGTTATTGTTGATATCCGACTACTGGTCGGCCCTTCATTGCCCACAATCAATCATATTTCTTGAAAATGGAAAAGTAATTTATTAAGGTTGATGCCTGTGCCCTGCTCAGTTAAAGAGAGATTGCAGTACTTATGGGGATCCAAAGTTACTATTCCTAGTTTATTAGAAACTCACTCTCTAGAGAATTGCATTGTTGCTGCGTAGAGATTTGATTGGCCTTCTAGAAAGCTAACATATAGGACTTACATAGAATGAGACTCTTATGCAAGAGTCTCCTCTCATACCAAGGCATTCATCCTCCTAGGATGGCTAGTAGAACTTGGGGAGCTCCTCGAAGCTCAATGAGTGCAATCATAGTGTGGTCTCCGGACTATGCCAATCTCTATTGAATTTAATAGAGACATAAAAACAAGAAGAAATCAAAAGAAATGAAGATGAAGAAAAACCTAACTGTCCATTAAACTCAATCTCCATGACATTAAAATCTGTTACAGAAACTCAACCTCAGCCTAACCACGCAAACTAACACCGTTGACATCTCTTCCTTCCCATATCTCTCACAAACAGATCGAGATTAAGAACCAAGTTAAGATCATGTCAATTATTCACCCAAAAAAAACAGATCACCTCAATTCTATTCCACACACAAGTGGTTAACATCATTGCCCTAACTGACATCCCTTCCTTCCCCTAACACTATCATCCTTGTGCATCGCCGTCAACAACCCCCATCTCTACTAGTTAAATGTCAACAATCCTTACCTCTCCAGTTTTACTTCAAACCTTATACAACACTCAAATTGGAACTGCACTAACATGTCTATTCACATGCATAATAGCTATATATATATATATAAGCAATTATGCAAGCATATAATTTAACTCATAATCAAGAAAGATATCCTCAACTACACTCGTCTACTAAGTAAGAAAAACAAGAACTACCTCTAAAGCAGCATTGGCATCACGGATAGCAGCATTCGGCTTCTTCATTTTGATGTAAACACTGGCTGTAAGAAATCAAAGAAATGCACACAAATTCAAAAATGAAAATAGAGAAGGGGGAAGGGGAAGAAAGCATCATGAATGAAAAAAAAAATCCTTACCTCTGGTTGCATACATAATTGCTGAGGTTGGGTTGAGCAAAATAGCCTGCGTGAGATGCTGTATTGCTTCCTCCAGTTTCCCTATTCAACCCAAAGCCATAAAATTATGAAAACTTGCATTTACAATATATACACATGTACGTATGTACATGTAATGAAATTAGAATACCTTCAGAAATTGCTTCCATAGCCTGTGCCTTAGCCTCCTGCGAAGCATCACGGTTTTCTTCCGTGACCTCAACAGAAGCATCTCCCATCTGCAAAATTCAGTATTAATAAGATAATACATGTTATCAAATATCAAAATTCTGAATCAAGCTACACAAAAAAACAGCAATGAGTGTGCACATAACCTTTTGCGGGGGATCATTATCCGGCTCCACTGTTTCACCTTCAAGCTCAATATCAGATTCAATTATCTCACTCTCTTCCTCTTCATCGGCAGTGTCTTGCGGTTGCTCCTCCTCCATGTCCTCCATATCCTCATCACTCTCATCCACAACATAAGACTTCTGCAATCGGAGTCATAAAATTCAGGTCTGGGTTCGAGCTGATGGATCAGCGGTGGCTCCTTCTAAGTTGTAACCTAACTTCACTAACAAACTAACATTCTATCTTTGACCCCAAAAAAAAAAAAAATGATTGATAAGAAGTTGTAACCTAACTTCACTAACAAACTAACATTCTATCTTTGACCCAAAAAAAAAAAAAAAATGATTGATAAGACCTAAACCATAAACACTAAACCCTAAATTTGTATGTTAGATTGATCATTCTTGCTTCTGAATCCCCACACAGAACAAAAATAAAGGAATTAAAAATTCTAGACTAACAATTTTGGTTTCACCGATTTTCCTACAGTTTCTGAGCAGCCAAACAAATTAAATACGAACAAAGAAGGTTGCAGAAGTACCGATTTGTTACGGGGAGATTCTGCGGGCTTGTAAGCAGATGGAGAAAGCTTACAGCCGAGGCTGAAAAAGATTAAATCGAAATAATAACTTTTTTTTTTAAAAAAAAAAAACATAAGAAAGCAAATTGAACAGGAAAGTATTATAAATACATAAAAGTGAATTATATGGTACCTTTCGAGGTAGTCTCGGAAGAAGGAGAGAGAAGGATCGGAGAGGATTGAGGGATTGGACTTGCAATCATCGATGAATTGCTTCAACTGGTTCAAGTTCGCGGCGTCCATGGCGTTCGAAGATTATTGGAGATTGAATCGGAGAAGAGAAACCAGAATCGATTCGCGAGAATCAGAAAGTGAGGAAGAGGTAGTTACTTTTTATGCTTCGGTGCGAAACTGGCGAGACTAGTGCTGGATTCCTTGCTGACTAGGCTCTTCCCGTAGCTTCTAAATAAACAAAGGAAAACGGATCAATTAGTAATAACTATTTTACTAACACTATATAATATTATTATTAACACCATTTATTAATCATATTTGAGTGTACTAACTCCACTCATTATTAACTCCACTTATTAATATTATTCTATTATTGACTCCATTCATTAATCACATTATAAATACTAAAGACTTCTTAAATTATGTCATATCATCAATTGATACATTAATTAACACACTAATTTGTGCATATAGCATTATTCATATTATTATTTCTGATCACACGTATTATATAAAGAAAAATGGTTGAGAGCACTAAAAGTGGTGCTCTAATAGTACCACTAATGATGTGGCAATAGATGTTTTTTTTTTTTTTTGCATTCTTAATGCATTAGTGCTATTAGTAGTCTTTTTTTTGTGGTATGAATCATTGTTGTTATATAAATTACAAATACTCAAAACTTCTAAAATTATATCATATGATCTATTAATATATTAATTAGTACATTGATTAATACATATATCATTTTTTTTCTCTCTCCCCTTCCTCTCTCTTTCTCTCTCTATCTTTCTTTGATATTTTTTTTTTATTAATCACACCTATCTATTCAATCATAAAAAAAATTACTACAAATTATCCCAAAATTATTTTTAAAATTCATAACTAATAAATTTTTAATTTTCAAAATTCATTTCAATAACTTATCTTTCAAAATACAATTCAAAACTCAAATTTTTTTTTTCAAAAATTAAATCAAATGGAGCCTGAGATTTTCTTAAACTATAATTTATACTCTTTTTTTTAAAACTTATTTTGAAATCTTTAAATATGCATGGACCTAATAGTCACATTTTTTTTTTAATTATTATAATCTTTGAAGGCATCTATATGACAACGTATTTAACCAAAAATGTAATGCAAAAATTTTAAGATAAAATTACACTAACCTCTTTCAGGTTTGAAAAACAATATATAATAAATTTCATAAGTTTTATACATGATTTTAAATCACATATAACTTTTTTTATCAGTAATTTATTAATCATATCAACAAAAAAATTGTTGTTGTATATTTTTAAATTAAAATGTATATTTTACTTTATTTATCTTTGTATCTTTGCACCATTTACATTAATTCAGATCCTTTAGTCTTAGTAAAAAAGAATCAGTATAATTATATCAAAACTATAAAATATATTGTATTTTTTCTCAATCTCAAAAAAAGTCAGTTTACTCAAAATTTAATTATGCTAGCATTACTTGATTGAATAATAGAATTATTTTAAAATTTGACAGGGATAATTTCATGTAGCAAAACTATATGCAACTGGATTAAAAAAAATTAAAAATTATCTAACTAGATAGAAATAAAGATTTAGTAAGTTTTAAAAGAAACTAATCTCTTCTATATAAAAAAAATTCCATGTTGGTTGCATTTAACTTCCATTTTCATAAAATTTACTGATTGTGGGCACTTTGCAATTTCAAGATTGAAAATGACGAGGATTCATAATCCCAGTTTATGCAATAGGCCATTCAAACTCAAACTCAAACTCAAACCACAAACTGAAACAATGCGAATGAACAATGTCGAAACTGAAACAATGCTAACAGACAAGATTCTTCACATGGAGTTGTTACAAAACCCATAAAAACTGAAACAATGCTAATGAACGATATTATTCATATATCGGTAATAAGGGTACATAATGCTCCAAGATCAATACGAGCCAGAGTTCAAAAGCTATGTGAAGAAGTGGATTCAATTATACATAAGAGAATTGTATAGCAAACAGAATAATGAAGTTCAACAAATAGTCGACCAAGTAACAGATTGAACGTAACACTGCTCAAATCTAGATAGTACTTTACAAACAATCGAATAAGAACACCTCCAGGAGTGCATATCCGGCTTCATAATACTAAAATGACTCTGCGTTGCAAATGATTTAGAGAGCACCTCTAATAGAGCATCATAGAAGCCCAAAACAAGAGTATGCTAGGCATTCCAGCCGATGCAATGCTGACTCTGTTGCTGTCACTTCCAGGCGTTGCTGTAAAATTTATCCCCGACAGTTGTTAGAGAAGCGAGTCATCAGCATTGTTAAATCAAAGAACTATATCTGCAAACATACCAAACTCAACCCAAGATAGATGATATTCATTTACTGGATGCATAAGAATTGTTAGAACCGTAGAGAAAGAGGAAATAATATATATTGTATTGAATAAATGAATTAATCCTATACAATAGAATGCCTGTATATATAAACTGAGAAAGAGACCTAACTATGAGAAAGAGTAACCTACAAGAAACCTAACTAAGGCTATTCCTAAATATATCTAGGAATCAATACCTAATATATCCAGGAATACCACATATATGTTAACATCTCCCCTCAAACTCAAATAGGTTTCTATCTTCAAATCTATTTGAGTTTGAGGGGGGTATTATACCTATATCATGGTGAATATGGTTAATGTATATGTGGTATTCCTAGATATATTAGGTATTGATTTCCTAAATATATTTAGGAATAGCCATAGTTAGGTTTCTTATAAGATATTCTTTCTTAGCCTATATATACAGGACTTTTATTGTATAGGATTAATTCATTCATTCAATACAATACATATTATTTCCTCCTTCTCTACTATTCTAACATGATATCAAAACTAGTTTAAGTACCTAGTAATTTCACTTTACTGACCGGCTGACCGGCGGGCGGATGGGCCGGCGGCAACCTTGCCTTGGCTACCCGCCGGACCTCAACCTATTCCGCTGTCATATTTCCTATCATTATCATTTCATGATGATCTCTTCCTTTGTTCGTTTGTTTATTCCTACTCTAAATATCTCTATCAATTTTAATTTTTTTTTTGTGCTTCTGCTCCACTTTGTCTTTCCCTCGGTTTTAACCTCAAATAGATTTCTATTTTCGAACCTATTTGAGTTTGAGGGGGATATTATACCTACATCATGATGAACATGATTATACACCTTGCAAGCCAACTAAGTGGTCCCCTGTAGCGCACCATCTAAGCCGCCTCCTTGGCGCACTCCCTAAGTCGCCTCCTTTGGCGCATTCTTTAAGCCGCCTCTTTTGGCGCATTATCTAAGTCGTCTCATTGACACATTACCTAAGTCGTCTCCTTGGCGCACTTCCTAAGCCGCCTCCTTTTGGCGCATTTTCTAAGCTGCCTCCTTTTGGCGCATTTTCTAAGCCATTCCTTTGGCGCACAACCCAAGCCACCCTCTTTAGCATACAATCCAAACCGCCCCTTGGTGCACTCAGTTATCTGTTACCATCATCATTCAGCACTACGTCATAAATTATTTGTGTGTCACGCTTACTGGTTCAACATCCAACTCTCTACATCGGTCCAACATGACCCCTATAAACTATTCCGACATTGATTCGGGTTAGCTCCTACATCGGTCCGGCATGACCCCTTTAAACTGTCCTGACATTGATTCCGGTTAGTTTCTGCAACAGTCCGACATTCGTTCCAGTTAGTTTCTACAATAATCTGTCATGACCTTAAACTGTCCCGACATTAATTTCGGCCAATTCCTACAACGGTCCAACACGACCATAAACCTTAGTTGCACGAAGCGGGAGCGGGAGCAGGAGCGGGAAAGCGTGAGTCAATAGAAGTTTCTTAGGTTGGGAGCACCTCGAGGAGCGGTAATATATAAATATATATATATGTTTTAATACACATTAAAAGTTTTTTTTATAAATATATTTTTTAATACATATTAATTATTTTATTTATTTATTATATTTTTTAAATAATGTGTTAAAATATATTAAAATAAATAAATAAATTAAAATTGGAGAGGGGTGAGATAGACACAAATTATATTATTTATTAGATTTATTATATGTATTATATATATATATTTTTTATTAGACACAAATATGTTAATATAATTTATTAGATATATATTTTATATAATAAATTAGATATATATATTTTATATATAACCAATTATATTGTTATAGGTTGAAAACGGGAGGGACAGAGACGCACGACAAGAGAGAGAGAGGAAGGCAGATCGAAGGCGAGGACATGGCGACGCAGATCGAAGGCAGATTGGAGGAGCTAACGAGTCTCTACGGCAGATCGGAAGGCAGATCGAGCAGATCGAAGGCAGACGCACCAGGTTTCTCTCTCTCTCTCTCTCTCTCTCTCTCCCCTTTACGATCCCATATTCATTTGAATCGCGTTTCTCTCTCCACAGAAACGCGATTCTTACGCGTTTCTTTCTAGGAAGCGCGGAATCGCGATTCTGAGTAAGAATCGCGGCCTGTTTGCGCGAATCCTGTAACTAAGCCATAAACTGTCTCCCGATATTAGTTCCGACTTCTAATATATCTTAAGCGCCCTTGCGCTCCCGTTTGGACTTTGCAACCTATTTGCCTTTTATTTTATTTAACTTTATGTCATGTTTTAGTTTTTCTCTCCAAACTCAAGATGTTTATCCTCCTTGAGTTTAAGGGGGAATGTTAATGTATATATGGTATTTATAGATATATTAAGTATTGATTTCCTAGATATATTTAAGAATAGCCATAGTTAGGTTTCTTGTAGGATACTGTTTCTCATAGTTAGGTTTCTAGTAGGATACTCTTCTTCAGCTTATATATATAGGCCTTCTATTGTATAAGATTAATTCATTCATTCAATCCAATACAATACATATTATTTCCTTTTTCTAAACTATTCTAACAAGAATGTTGCAAGCTCTTAGGTAGAAACTCTACCCCAAAAGCTAACTATTGAGGTAACATTACTTTAGTACTCAGGCGATATCAGACTTCACTTAACAAAGAAGGCGTCTAACCTAAAAGAAAGACTTTCGGTTTCAAAACAATACACTATTGACGTGTCATGTGGGTATTACCATGACCCTAGAATTTTACATGCCCGGGTTAGAGAACCTGCCATTAAAGTGCCTCAATATAAAAGGGTAACCTTCCACTAGATAACCTACCACACACCCTTAATCACATATGGCAAGCTCTCCTCCACACAAACAGATGATTTTTGTTTATTCTAATAGCATGTTAAATCATTAATCATTGCCCAAGCTGTTAGAGAAGGCATATAATCATTTATATCCTCAACAAACCAAGTCTCACTCTACGTGTCAAAAATTGTGTGCCCAATTCCATTAAAGGGTTTATGTTGTTATGACTGTCTTGGGGCCATTACTGTTCGACACAAGTGAGGCCCAAAACCCATACAGAGTCACAGACACAAAACACGAAGCTGGAGACAAATAATTGCAGAACTTTTTGTGGAAAATAAGTCTTGCAAAGAGAGAATTATATTATGAAGGTAAGTTTGTACCTGGAGGTACTGGAGAACTCGGAGCTGAAGCTGCTGTGGAAGAAAATAAAAAGAAAATCGAGTAATTAGTTCATGTACCACATACTTGAAAGAGAAGAAAATAGATTTTACGTGACTAAAGTAACCATGTTTGCCATTACAATTACATGTCCTACTTGGAATTATGGCACTGTGGACACTCTGTAACTTGAACTCAACATATTAGAAATAAAGAAAATAAAGTGAAGTCCAATTGTTAGTTGAGAACAATAATCACTTTTGGTGCAACAACTTAAAAATTTTGCCAAAAATAAATAGGACATGAAAAAAAATTGGTCTCAAGCAGATCAACCGACTGGGTTGTCTTAGTTGACCGTAGCTATGACTCTCGCATAAGAAGTTATGATTTCAACCTCAAGAAATGAATAAATGATAAAATTTACATTCATTTTCTGTCCTTAAATTCCATTTTCTCTGTTCCAAATCACTTCTCATTCAGAGGATCATCTGAGAATTTCGAGAGACAGATTTAGTGAGAGGATCTTATGCCTCAATAAGATCCAGGTCGAACCCATAGTGACCTGTTAATCTAAAACAAATAAATAAGTAAACCCACAGTTATTGGTATATTGTTTGGAAATTAATAAAACTAACTGATTATTTAAAAGCTCGAAGAGAACTCATTTAAATGGTTTCTGTTTTTTATTATTAACATTCACTTTGAGAAAAAGAAAATCAAATGTGTTCCCAAAAATTGGTAGGGGAAAAGCGTTGCTGCCGTTGTTAAATAAACTAGAAATGATGCCACACGCTACGTGCACATGATCATTTCGTTTGTAAAAAAACAAGATTTTAAACTGTAACAGTATTGAATTTAAAGGCTAAAAATTAAAATAAAATTTGAAAAAAATCAGAAGTTGAGAGATTGACCCCCCAAAAAATTAAAAAATTAAAAAAAATTAGGGTATAACTGCTCATGTAACTAGAAGTATTTTGAAAAAATCTACAAAATTAGCTCTCAAGACAACTCTACCCTTCACATATATAATAGTAGATAAAAATAGATAGATAAATAAATAAATGGAAAATGTTTGGACCCCACAAGGAGGACCCACGATCCCACTGACATAATTTGAATTTTTTTTGGGATTATGTTTGAAGGCGATGTAAATAATTTAGATCATTTTAAAATAATGGGGTTGTGTTTTGTGTTCTCTATCATTACTATTAATAAATAAAACTAAGATATCAAATTGACCAAGTCAGGAGTCTACTTGCTGAGCCCCAACTTAACTCAGTGAGTTCACCAAACTTTCCAAACAGAAAACTCATTTCAGATTTATTAAATCGAATAAAACAAAGATCAGAGAGAATTGCTTAAAAACAAAAGCAATGCTATCTATGTTTCAGTAGATAGATTCATTCATGTTTTTTACATCACCAATCATAGTGATAATTAATTCAAAACAACACCCAATGGCCTATTTTGGCAAAAAAAAAAAAAAAAAAAACCTTTTTTACCCCATTTTTTTTAGGGGTGAGCATGGTCCGGATTGGACCGGATTGGGATAAAATCAGGACCAATCCGTTATCTACGGTTCCTGAAAAATTGGAACCAATCCAATCCGTTTAAATCATGGAACCAATCCGAACCAATCCATTTAAATACGGATTGGATCGGTTTAGGACCACGGATTCACATAATTAAATAACAAAAAAAAATATATATATATATATAACACTTTAATTTCATAAAAATATAAACATAGCGCTATATCAGTTCCACAATAGCAACATGTTTTTCTATAATAGTGACATACTGTTCTTGAATTTAAACACCTATAAGAAAATACAAACAAAAGTAATAAAATAAGATATTATACGGTTTTAGGTTTGAGTTTAGATTTTATATAGAATAAGAGAAGATACTATGGGGGAGAATGTATAATAAAAATATAGACTATTTGTATACGGTCCGGATCGGTTCCAATCCGGAACCGTGGAGTTCAATCCGGAACCAATCCGTGGACTACGGATTATTAATTCTTCAATCCGGAACCGAACCGCGGATTCAAAAAACCAATCCAAACCTATCGGATTGGACTGGACTGGATCGGATTACGGATTTCACGGATTCCTTGCTCAGTCCTAATTTTTTTTGTCTCGTCTTGTCGAGACGTATTAAAAAGTATATTTTTTTGTTAAAACATTTCCCAAAAAAATCACTAAAACGATTCATTCAGGTGATATAATCAAATGATTTCAGTAGATAGATTCATTCAGGTGATAATCATGTAGATACAAAAATTTGTGTGTGTATATAAACCCTAATTAAACTCAAAACCCAATTACCGCAGGAGCTGAGGTTGCCGGTGACGTTGCAGCGGCCGGCAAGGCCAAGGGCATCGGTGACGTTGATGCCGATACTTTCCAAAAAGCCAGGGGTGTTGAAGAGGTTGCAGAGGCATTGAAGATCCTGATTCACGGCTTGTCTGAGTGGATCACAGCACGTGGCTGGTGGCTTTGTTACGTTTAAGTAATTCGCACATGGAGTCAGCTTCGAAGCACACGACGCCGTTGGTTGCCCCTCCGCCACTCTGGTTGTTGTTGTGGCCATCAGCACAACCACCACCATCGCCGCCGCCGAGAAAGAAATCTTCGAACAACCCATCACTCTGCTTCTCTCTCTCTCTCCTCTGTTTCTCTCTCACTCACTATTTAGAAATAAAAGGTCAATTTCCAATTGGACCTTCCTTCCTCTGTTTTCCTCTTATCTGAATTTTTTGACCACTTTATATAGAACGCTTCACGGAATTAAATTACACTTCACGATGCGACTTGGTAAAAGTTCACACCAATTGTTTTTGTTGAAGACAAGTTATTAAATTAATTAATAATATTATAAATATATTTAATTAATAATTTAAATAATTTTATTATTATATAAGAGAATAGTGAAATTTTTTATTTTTTCATTACTTTTGATAAATGAAGATTTTGAGCAAGAGAGTATTTATAATTTTCAAAACTATAAGGATATTTCATATTTTAAATAAATTTCAAGAATATATTTGTATTTTATCTATTAGAATATAAGGTAAAAAAAAATTAATATATTTGAATTTTTTAAAATTTTTATTGAAAACATACAAAAATAGAGTGAATAGGATGAAATTTTGATCTTTTTGTTTATGTTATGAATTTGTTGATTTTTTATTTTTTTTTTTTGACCTTTTTAATAATTTTTTAGACTTCTTTTACTAAAATATGCAATCGCCAAAGGACTTATGAATTATGAGAGCAGTTTTGTCTCTAAACACTGCGAAAGCAACAAAAATCACTACTTACCGATACAAAGATCACTGATCTTCATCGTGTACGCCAACTTCATTTGTATTTATCTCACGAAATATGATCCAAATCCAATAGTAAAGAGGCAAGCTTTTTACATGATGGAAGCCCGTTTTACACCATGCTCACGGCTCGATTGGTGTGCCAATTAGTAGTGGAAATTCTCTCGTTCTTGAGAAGTACTGTTTGAGCCAATTATTATTTAAATGGTTCATTTTTACAGTTACAATATATATATTATTTATGTAAAAAAAAAAAATCAATCTGATAATCATACCCTCATTGGTTCATTACATTTGCCTTTCGAAATATAAATAAATTAGTTTTCAAATAATATTTATTATTTATTTTTTGTAAATAAATATTATAAACTAACGTGATACAATTATCAGATGACCTAATTTTTTTTATGAATAATTTATACACTGTGATCCAAAAAATAAACGATTCAAATTATTGAGATGAATACACCAACCTCTCTTGAGGCTTAAAAAAATGTAATAAACTCTACAAATTTAGTATAATTACATTAAGATCTCGTAAGATTTTAATAATTACATTAAGATCTCGTAAGATTTTAATAATTACATAATACTTAGCCACATTTTCATTAATGATTTGTTACTCACATCAATGAAAAAAATGATGTTGTCATTGACACTAAAATATATATTTTATCTTATTTGTTTTTATATTTTCACACTATCTAATTAATTTAGTCTTACTAAAAGAGAAATGAATGTAATTATGCTAAAATTATGAAATTTATTATATTTTTAAAAAAAATTAAGAGAAATCAGTGTAATTTACTATTTTTTTTTATTTATATACTTTTTTGGGGGGAGATCAATGTAAAATAAATTACGGGGCTATCCCACATCGGATAGCCTTTGGGAGTGTGTTACATTTGAATGGTGCCATGACTCTCATCTGCTCAGCAATTGTCCAGTATGAATGATTTGTAAATCCCGCTATCTAAGTTCAAAAAAATTAATTCCGACGCACTTCTATGTAGGCACAAATTGCAATCCTCTTTGGGCCTGACCATAAGTCGGGGGAGGCTTTAGGGCCTAGGTAGGGTAGGGTAGGGTAGCGTAGCGTGGGGCACCAAGGATCCTCTAGAGTCAAATTTTTCTAAAGTTTCCTAGAGTGCTACATTGTGTGGTTGAAATTTATTGGCAAGTCACATCAATTTTTCTGATGTGACTTACCAGTAAATCTCAACCACACAATGTAGCACTCTAGGAAACTTTAGGAAAAAATCACTTTAGAGGATCCTTGGTGCCCCACGCTACGCTACCCTACCCTACCCTACCTAGGCCCTAACGAGCGGGGGCTATCCCACATCTGTTAGCTTTTGCGTGTGTCGGCTGTATTTTAATAGCTTTTGGTAGAATTGAGTAAGGAATCCGTAAAATTCGTAATCCGATCTAATCCAGTTTAATTTAATCTGATAGGTTTGAATTGGTTTTTTAAATTCGCAGTTTGGTTTTGCATTGAAGAATTAAAAATTCGTAGTACACGGATTGGTTCTGGATTAAGCCCCACGGTTTCGGATTGGAACCGATCTGGACCGTATATAAATAGTATATATTTTTATTATACATCCTCCCCCATAGTATCTTCTCTTATTTTATATAAAATCTAAACTCAAACCTAAAACCGTATAATATCTTCTTTTATTACTTTTGTTTGTTAGTTTTTAGTTTTAATTTGTAATGGTTTAAATACTTATGGTGAAACCAGTTTTCTTATGATTGTTTAAATTCTAGAACAATATGTCGCTATTATAGAAATAGATGTTGCTATTGTGAAACTAATATAGCGCTATGTTTATATTTTTATGAAATTAAAGTGTTATATATATTTTTGTTATTTAATTATGTGAATCCGTGGTCTTAAACCGATTCAATCCGTATTTAAATGGATTGATTTGGATTGGTTCCATGATTTAAACGGATTGGATTGGTTTCAATTTTTCAAGAATCGTAGATAACGGATTGGTCCTGATTTTATCTAAATCTGATCTAATCCGGACCATGCTCACCCCTAACTTTTGGGTGTGTCGGCTGTATTTTAATAGTGCCATGACTGTCACCTGGGTAGCAATTGTCTAGTATGAGTCATTTGTGGATCCCGTTGTCTAAGTTTTAAAAAAAAATATAAAATAAATTACAAGTATTATCCGTTAAATTCAACTTAAAAGAAAAGTTTCAAATAAATGAGAGAGAAATACATGTTATGCGGGAATACGAATAGTCAAAGTGTCTTCATTTAATTTGTTATATAGGAGACCAAGTGAGTTAGGAAAGTGATTATTTTTAAATTAAATATATTCATTTGATTTTATGTGTATATTCGATTTATTCGGTAGAAATTACGCCATGAATGTCGCAGAAGTCTATTTTATACAGATTTGTCACAATATATGCAAACAAAAAAACAGAGAGAGAAGAATCCCACCTGTAATGAGATTTGAATCTGCTAAAATAATTCCCATCTGGATTATCAGAAAATTAAGCTCACCTTAAGCTTGGTCACTAAGGAATTTTGATCCCGTCTAGATTATTTGTTTAATACCAATTAACAAATGATATTTATAGTTATAATTTTAATTATAACTGATTTGATTTTTGATAAATGTTTGTGACTCACAAAAAATTTTGAAAATCTGACACACAATGATGTGATATGATAGATGTTAATTTTTAATTTGTTATAGATCCAATAATATAAAACTCAACTCTTTTGCTACATCATTATAGGTGAATAAAAATGTGAATTTCTAGCGTTTCATAAAAACCTCATTTTTTTCTTTTGGGTCATAATTATGATTTTTAGAATATTCTAGATGTTTGTATGATAAAAAAAAACTATTTAATAGTTTATTTGAAACATGTTCAATTTCTTTTATATAAATTTAAAAATTACACCAAATATATTTATAACTCATAAGTTTTGTATAATAGAAAAACGCCAAACAGGCCTACCTAGACTTTGAATTTGCCAGGGTATAAAAGTAAGCGAAAGAAAAGTATTCGGAGTTCCTTCAATTTGTGGCCTCCTACGTAGAAAGACAAATCATTAATTTGCGTGTCACTTAGAAAGTCTCAAAAATTCAAAATGGGACCATCGCACATTATTAAAAAAACATAATTAAAATATAAAATTTTAATTGATTTAAAATAATACATCCTATAAAATTTACATAAAATACGAATTACTCATATGATTCTAAAAATTATAATTTGTCTCTTGAAATATTTAATTTCATAATAAAAGACTCATTTTATTAATAAATAATCAAGTCAATGAATAGTTTTTAATGATATCAGAAACTATTTTAATTAATAATTCTGGTAATTTTATTATTGTATATTAAAACGATTAAAAATTTTATTTTTTCAGTTAACTCTGTTATATAAAAAATTTTGACAATAAATCATTTGTAATTTTTCAAATCACGTGAAATAATTCATATTCTAAATAAATATTAAAGAGTGTATTTATTATTTACCTATAAAATTAATATAATTTTTAAATGAAAGATTTATAATTTTAATTCAGACAAATTTTGTATTTTATTCACACTTTGAAACAAAAATGTGTGAATGGAATTATTTTCTAACTAACTATGCCAGGCTGCACTTTTGGTCTAAGTTTGAATCTTTCTTTCTAGAAGAAATTTAACGTTGGGTTGCTTGCTTGATTTGATATTGGAAATTGAATTTCACATTTTGAAACTGTATAAATAAGATACAATATTTGATTCATCTAAAATAATAAAATTTATATTTAAAAATATATCTCATTATAAATCAATCAGATGTTATATTTTGTTCACACTTTAATATGTAAAACCAATAGTAGGTTAGACAAAAAGTGTACCTCTCATTAGGAAATTAAGAGCTCTACTGTTTCTATTTATGTGAAGGGTTTTCTTGTCTGGTATTTGTTTGGTAATTTCGTAGTTATTGAGTTTATTTTATATTTGTTATAATAAATTGTTGAACTTTAACATAGTTAAATGTTTTATATAAAATTTATGATATTTACTTTTTTTTACCAAAAAAAATATTGTACATCACAAGAGTAAGATGTAAATATTTTTTTGGCAAATGTGAAGAGAGATATAAATGTTGTTTAATTTTGAGAATTACATAAAAAGTGTATTAGAAATAGTGAAAAGATTGAAAAAAAAGTTCTTAAGAAAAAAATGTTATGAAATTAATAGAAAGTGTATAAGATTTTTTATTTTTTATTTTTTGAAAAAAAAAACACAATAAAAAATCTTATAATATGATAGAAATTGTCAATCTTGGGTTAGCGTTCACTAGACATACATTATCGAATAGCACTCTTTGATGAGAGATGTGAAGAAGAAGTTTTGCGAAAACTAGTATTTCTGAATTATATGAAGCTAATAAGCAAACA